CCATTCATTATCTTCAAGAAAAGTATATATAATGATAATTTATTTAGTTAATCAGACCTAAGTGATATTGAAGGGGCAATGGGCCAATCAACATTCTTTTTCATAAATGTTGAACTAATTTTCACCAAAAATGCAACTTTTTTATGTCCCCACCACATAGTGTGGGGCCCTATTGTCGGCCTAGGCGCGTCCGTCTGTCCATTTGTCTGTCTGTCCGTCCGTCCATCCATACGTACTCGTGGGACACTCATATTTCAAAAATTAATATTGATTTTCTTGATGAAAACATCAGGCCTGTCAACTGTCCCGCAATTTGCGTATTTGTCACGCATTTGCTGAAGAATTTGAAGTCACGCCAGTTTTTTTTGCGTGACACAAAAAGTCACGCAAATACGCATTTTACCTGGTAATTGTCACGCAAATATGTTTCTGTAAAAAATTTTTCAAAATATGTTTATGATACGGTAAAAATACGAACGTCGGAAAAAAACGAACGCAATTTGTTCGGATTTGTCACGCGAATCCCGTATATGTCACGCATGTTCATTGGAAATTTTCGTACCTCCCCCCCCCCCCCCCCCCCCCCCCCGTTGACGACATCGCGAGCGTAGCGAGCGCGAAAAATTTGAGGTTATAAAAGTTTAGCAAAGGTGCTCAAACTTTGGCCAAAGGTGTTTAAAAGTTGGCCAAAGGTGTTCAAAATTTGGACAAAAGTGTTCAGATTTGGACTTCGGTGTCCAACATTTGTAAGTCACTCATATTAGGTGGTCCCAAGTTGACAGCCCTGAAACATGTCATACATGTATTATATACCAGTGGATAGGGAATATACTTATATTTAATTTTGTATATCATAAGTTAAAATCTATAATGTCTGTCAACCAGCGTCTGTTATATAAATGACGTCATTTAAGTTTCAAAACGGGTTTTCCAAAAGTTGCAAAAAACAATTTTTTTGTCAACTTTATTTACACAAACAGTCATTCAATATGTCCACCATTTTGATCAATTATAGCCTTCAATTTTGGCCTAAACTGGTCAAAAACATCATTGATATTCTGTTGAGACAATGATTTCCACTTCTCAACAAGTCTATCCTTAATAAGGGACTGAGTAGATGTAAGGGGTTCATGGTAAACTAATTCTGTAGGCTTTCCCAGTACGTGGTAGTCGCAGATGTTGACATTGCGTTATCCAATTATGTTGTTTTAGACCATCCTGATATGAGCTCATTCTCAAATAGATCTCACAAGAGTGCCATTTATTTTTGAAATACGAGTGTCCCATTTTTTTTGGACCACCTTGTATACTGAGGAATAATCTGTTTTATATATGGTTTTAGTTAACAAAGAATTTTTGCAAGGTAAAGAGATAACCCTCCCCTATCTTTTGGGCCCAATATGGTTCAAGCTTTGAAGAGGAATTCACATGACTTGGAGAAACAACTTTATGATTGCATGGTCTATTTAAATAAGCTAAGAATAAAGACTCAACATGTTGCCAATGTTGATTTTTAGTGGCCAGATTTTTCGCTTGGATTCATATATATTTCCCATGAGTCGAGGCAGCTCATTCGTCAACTTTAACTGATCTATCCCGTAGGATGCTGAACGCTGATGAGCAACGAAGGAATACGAAGGATAATTAGAAATTTTAGCACTCAATTTAGCGAGATAAAAAATAGCAGTCATCAGGGATTAGGAATGAAATTTTTCCTAGTCTCATAGAAAAAGTTTGCCCCTTTAAAACCCATGGGTAGCATTATGCAGAGGAATTAGCAAGCTATGCACCAGGGGGCCATAATGTGTAGCTCTATATGCCCATGTTGTGTGATAAAAATCAGTATGAAGTTGTACCATGCGCCCAAGTGACCTCTCAGTAATAAATATATTCCAGTTTTGCTTGTATAGATCTAAATGGTATGGTTTTGATAGGATGTTGTCATTACATAAGCGAGAAATACATTTATGCCTTCTACAATAACTTTGTCTGGCTATATTATAGTTCATAGGTGCATACATTAGGGTGAATAAAATATTGTGTTTTAAATTGAATAAATTTGTTTAATATAAAGATCAGCCATTTTGAAATTAGAAGGCAACATCTGTAAATACCCTGAAATTGAAATATTCATGTTAGCTAGCAAGTTTAAAATAAATCTTTTTTTTCCCGAAAATACTAAGCAGCTATAGTACAGCATACAGTAAAACCTGTCAAACGCCTCCCTACAAGTTTGTAATTTACCTTTCTACCAGGGATATGCTATTATTAGTTACACGGCACATCCACTTGTTTTAGGAATGTAAGTGAATGACTTAAGGTAGTCCTTCAATGACTATTGCACAGTCAGTTCACGCAACCTAAATCTTGCTCTCGTGTAAGCTCTCAGCGGACGAGAAGCAATATTATATATACACCAAAAAATTCATTCATTGCTATCACGAGTGGCTCAGGGGAATCATGCTCGGCTTATAAGTGTTCATATTTTGTAAACATATACCCTATGAGGGTAGAAGTTCTGCTAGAAAGCCGATTTTCAAAATGGCCGCTCATTCAAAAATCTCGGCCATTTTAGTGCTGATTTTACAGTAAAGGTACAATATGTAAAACTGTAATAGCAAATATGACATTAATAAAGCTAGAAATGTAGATCTTAAAGAAGCACCTGGCAGCCCTCTTGAAAAATGGCGGCCTTTACTCGCTATTTTACGATTTTTGCTGTAACTCGAAAAGTAGTGGAGCGATTTTGTTCATATTTCGTATGTGAATACTATAAGCATGGCACACCGTCTAATGACACTTTTGGCAGAATGGCCGCCATTTTAATGTATTTTACTTTAACTCGAAAAGTAGCGGAGCGATTTTGTTCATATTTGGTATGTGAATACTAAAATCATGGCACACTGTCTTATGACACTTCTGGTAGAAGGCGGCCATTTTTCTAAATGGCCACCATTTTATCCTATTTTACTATAACTCGAAAAGTAGTGGAGCGATTATGTTCATATTTGGTATGTGAATGCTATAAGCGTGGCACACTGTCTAATGACACTTGTGGTAGAAGGTGGTTGTTTTAAAAAATGGCTGCCATTTTTGCTATATACTTTGTTTGTAAAAATGCCAGCCATGGCTGTTCGATGGGAATTGCTACGCTTTGGTGTTGCTGTTGTCTAGTTATATACAATGGAATAACTTTTTTTTTTCTCAAGATCCGGATGGAATTTTCTCAAATATTTGTATAAATACATTTGTTGTCCCAAAGAATGATCCCAATTTTTTAAAAGAAAATCTGAATTGTGGCATTTTTGTGAACATAAGTTCGGTAGGGATATACTGAAGCACTCTGTCCATCCGTCAGTTCTTCTGTCACTCCGTCAGTCCGTTCAGAAGATAACTCGAATACTAGTTGACAGATTTTCTCCATATTTGGTTGAAAAATGTATATTGGTGAATAGTTTTATTTTTTTTTCAAGATAGCTGCCGCTTTAGAAATGGCGGAAATTTTTTCGCAAAAATCTTATGTTTTTCATTTGAAACCAAGGTAATAAATATTATTGTTTGAAATGTTGGTGGTATATTCACAAAATATATCTATTTCACATATATTCCATGTTTTTCACCCTGACCCCCAGGAGCTGTGAATGGTTGAGAAAATAGAAATTTGTGTTAATTTGGAGATGTTTTTGAAGTATAGCTTTATTATGCTCAAATGAAAGGCAATTTAGAGTAGATTGCAAATACTGTATCGTTTTTCTGATTCGGGCCTCGTTAAATTCAAAATGGCCGCCTACTGTGGGATTTCGCAATAATTTTCTGATCTTTTAGAAGTATGGCTATATTATACTCAAATTGAAGGAAATTTAGAGTAGATCACAAATATGGTATCATTTTCCTGATTTGTTCCTCAGAAAATTCGAAATGGCTGCCTAGAGCAGGTATTTGCCATTACTTAATTGAGATATCTTTAATTATTATATCACTATCTAGCTAGCGACAGTATGATTGGTCAAAACCGGGTCACATGTCGTGGGATATCTGGCGATATTCAATGGCAATGCTAATCAGATAAGACAACCGTGAGATATCTAGCGATATCCCACGCTCCCGGGAATTTTCAAAGAATTTGTCTTCGTTCAGTGTAAATAATTTAGTTCAGTGTAAGTCAAAATGGCAGACGAACCGAGTAGATTAAATGTATTTCAATGTTAACCTATGACTTAATAATATTAGGGATGTTTAGCTAGACAGTGATATAATAAAACAAATATTTCACTCTTTTTTCGGTGAATACCTGTAGCACTTTCATAAGGTGATATTCCACTTGCCCTTCGGGCTTCGTGGAATATCACTTGTGAAAGATGTACAGGTATTCACCTCAATAGAGTGAAATATTTGTTCAGTATGGTTACATTATACTACAATGATCTCTCTCAAGTGTTTATTGAAGGAAGAGTAGATGGTAAATATTACAAGTGACTGTACAGATTCATGATTTATATAGTGTTCTTTTGGATTTGCTACTCCATGGAGCTGATTTCTAGTTTAAAAAAAAATAAAAAATAATTTCCCATTGAGAGCAGTTTTAAATTAAAACATTTTTTTTAGAAATAACTAAATGGTCAATCTTTCTGATGTTCACATATTTTGTTATACATCAGTAAATCTTTTACCAAAATTTTTTGAAGAGAATCTGAATTGTAGAAAAAAGCTGATACACTGTGAAATACTACCTTAAGCCAATATTCATGTACTTGGTGTAATATAAATGAGACGAGGATATGCCATTTGTGACATTCCACCTCGTGTTAATTACGTTAATTTTTGAAGTCATAGTAATATGTTTTTAGTTTTATTTATTTATTTTTCTAAAAATACACCTTTCATATCGATGACTTACACATGAATGGAATATCTTGTGGTATTTTTGGTCACATGTACATGACTGACCAATCACATGCTGATTATCACTACAGAGAAATAATAAGTAGTTTTATTTGTAGGTCTGACCACCTCAAGATTCATATGAAAACTCATGACAATGGCAAGCCATATCAGTGTGTTGTGTGTAGTCGTGGTTATACCACAGCAGCTGCATTAACATCACACATGCTTTCCCACAAGAAACACACCAAAGCTGCTGATGTTTCTCCACCAATGTCGGGAGGTGAATTCCACTGTCCAGTATGTTCAGAAAGATTCAAGAATCCCCAGGAGCTACATGCCCATTCCCCGAGTCACCATAAAGAATCAGGAAAAGCAAAGACATACCAATGTGTCTACTGCCCAGAACTCTGCATAGGCAAAGACAACTTGGATTTCCACATTTCCAGGGTATGTTTAATAAAATAATCTAATAAACATCTAAGTAAATGTGTTTATATTATATGTACCCACATTACCATTTTAGTGTATTTTGGTTAAAGCTATGTGTTTCCCAGACAATCAGCGATGTCTCATTATAATTGCTTACATGACATCTTACATTTACATACCTTAGATATATCTTGAAACCAACTTATACGTATAGTATTACCGAGATATTGACTTAACTGTCCCCTTTGCATTTTTTCATGATTTGGCGATTAAGAAACTAAGGAGTTTGCATTATTTTATCATCTCTATGAGTGCTTGTGCTGGAGTCAAGGATTGACCTAACATATGCACATGTTCAAATCCTTAGAAAATAGCCCAAATTCAACATATGACCGTCTGAACTCCGTTAGGATACCTTCAGTGGTCCTTTCGAAATGGCAGCTGAATTTCAAAATGGCCACCATCTTTTGTAAATTACCTAAGCTTTGATAACTCAAATACCAGTTTAGGGATTTGGTTGAAATTTTATATGCTGATGCCTTGAGACAAATGAGCTCTGCTCAGGAGACATTTTCAAGTTGGCCACTGAAATTCAAAATGGCCTACATTTTTGGTAAAAAAGACACAATCTTTAATAACTCAAATACCAGTTGACTGATTTTGTTTAAAGGATCTAGTATATTCTCCATTATGATTTCCCCATGAACAAAATGAATCATTTTATGTGTGACATGAAGAATACAATGTCACAGTATACTTTGGAAAATAGTTCAGCATTTGGACCCACATAGGATGAGATTGAGGTCATTAAGTTCAGCAAGAGTGTATTGACTTGACATTGAATGTGCTCCATTGACTTAACATGTGGGTATCATCAGATTCCAACTGAGGCCATTGGTTTCTATTGATTTTCACAAAAATACCTAAAATACACTATGACCTGAATCAATTGCAAATTAAATAATTATCCCATCGAACAAAGATCATGGGATATAGGGAACGCCTCCCTCCGTCCATCTGTCCGTCCATCCGTCCGTCTGTCCAGGCAATAACTCAAATACCGTTGGCCCGATTTTGTTCATATTTTGTACACATATACCCTATGGAGGTAGAAGTTCTGCTCGAAAGCTGATTTTCAAAATGGCCACTAAGCACTTGGCAGCCATCTTTTTTTTTTAAATTAATTTATTAACATTGAAACATTTAAACAATTTTTACATAATATACAATGGTTACATTGGTACTTATACAGGAATACAGAGATTATTCGTTATAAATTTTACTATTTCTAATTTTCCAAATTTCAAACTTGTGTTTAAACACTAGCTGGTTTCTATGGCATTTGCTCTCAAAATCTCCCTCATTGCTATAAAATAAAATTTCTTGTTCAGAAAACTTTAAATTTTGAGTATTTACATATTCCTTTGCATTCGTACAATTGACAAATAAGTGTTTATGACTTTCTACTTCAACATTGCATATTTTACAAATTCCATTTGACTTCTGAATTTTTTGTAATTTTTTTTCTGTCCATATGGCTCCATTAAAACATTTAATTATAAATTCTTTAACATTATTACTAATGTCACATTTAAACAAAATCTTGTAAAAATCTGAGAAATCCGTTTGAGCAAACTGCTCAGACCAATACTCTTCTGATTTGGATTCTGTTTAACTGTTTTTTAAAAACCCCTTTCTTATTGATTGCACATTGATTTTCTGTACAGGAATACAATTAAAATATATTTTGCTTTCACTGTTTTTGGCTCACACAGTGAGCTTATGGGATTGACCAGGCATCCGTCCGTCCGTCCGTTGGTCCGTCCAAATTAAAACTGCTATTCGGATTGAGTCATATCCACATTCATTTTATGCATATCCATAATGTCTATTTGACCTATCATCGCCATTTCCCAAGTTCGCCCGGTTTCCGAGAAATTGTGAATTTTGACGTCAAAAGTCAAATTTTCTGTAAATACTAGACACTTTGTTGAAGTAGAACTTTCAAATAACTTTTAGTAGTTGGTGTATATGCAACTTATGTCCTCTGAAGATTTCAAAGCTCTTAGAATTACAGTTTTTGGTGTTTACTCTATAAAATTTGAAAAAAACTTTCTCATGTATAAAGTCAATGGCAGGTTTTGTGATTGACAAGATTCTTAAAGTTTGCCTTATACTTGATCATTTCCTGCGATACATTACATCATTAATAGATTTAAGCATTCCCTACATATTTCTCAATATATGTCAGCATCAAATTTTTACCGTTTTTGAGATATTTGACGTCAAAAAACAGTAAAAATAAGTTATTTTTCAACTTGCTTCAATTTCACCAAATTTTTTTTTGAAAATCATCTACAAGTTGCCAGGAGTCCAAATCTGACATTAGTTTTAGGATTTGACCTTTACTTGACCTTCCGTGACCTTCGAAAGGTCAAAAAAGTTGATTTTTCAAATTGATTTTTGGATGTAAATTTTGGTCAGCTTAATCACAAAAGACCTTACTGAGCTCTGAATAAGTAAAATGTTCAAGGTCAAAGGTCATCAAACTAGGTCACACAACTATACTATCAAAGTTTCTCAAAGTTCGAGACTACAAATCCAAATCAATATTTTTGTTTGAAAGTCAGGATATAAATTCCTCTGAAGGTTCCAAAATGTGTGAGCATAGGACTGTGGGTCCTTCATTTAATGCCTCAACCTTAATTCTGTCAAACTTGTTAAAAACTCCTTTGAGTAAATTGTATTAAAGTCTGGCCATTAAAACCTACTTTTTGCCCAACTTGATCATAGCTTAATAGTTCATTCTTTACATTACATACATCATTTGTTTTATATACACCTTTTTGATGCCAGTTATCAAAATATATAGGATTGTTCTTGTATAACAAGTCTTTGTTATTTGATATATATGGACTACTTTTAACTGAATTGTACATTATCCATGTTTTCAACACATCTGTCCAAAATGAGGACTTAATTCTATCTGGTCCTTTTACCTGATTAAATTCAACATTAGACAGTAAAATAGAAAATCTTTACTTTTGTCAATAAGATAGGTTGGTAGTTTTTCCAGTTTGCTTTGTTTCTATCAAGTAGAAGTTAAATCCATTTAATTGCAAAAGCATCTTGAAAATGTTTCACATCTATCATATTTAGACCTCCCTTTGCATTGCCTTGTATCAATATATTTCTTTTAATACATTCTACTACACCTTTTACATCTTCTTCTTTATACACACTTTTGTTACCTGACCAGATATATTTAAAAAACAAACAATTTATCCGTTTAATAATCTTATCTGACAAAATAAAACTTTGCGTAATGTATCCAAATTGTGAGAGCAATTTACATCGAAAGGTCAAAAAAGTTGATTTTTCAAATTGATTTTTGGATGTAAATTTTGGTCAGCTTAATCACAAAAGACCTTACTGAGCTCTGAATAAGTAAAATGTTCAAGGTCAAAGGTCATCAAACTAGGTCACACAACTATACTATCAAAGTTTCTCAAAGTTCGAGACTACAAATCCAAATCAATATTTTTGTTTGAAAGTCAGGATATAAATTCCTCTGAAGGTTCCAAAATGTGTGAGCATAGGACTGTGGGTCCTTCATTTAATGCCTCAACCTTAATTCTGTCAAACTTGTTAAAAACTCCTTTGAGTAAATTGTATTAAAGTCTGGCCATTAAAACCTACTTTTTGCCCAACTTGATCATAGCTTAATAGTTCATTCTTTACATTACATACATCATTTGTTTTATATACACCTTTTTGATGCCAGTTATCAAAATATATAGGATTGTTCTTGTATAACAAGTCTTTGTTATTTGATATATATGGACTACTTTTAACTGAATTGTACATTATCCATGTTTTCAACACATCTGTCCAAAATGAGGACTTAATTCTATCTGGTCCTTTTACCTGATTAAATTCAACATTAGACAGTAAAATAGAAAATCTTTACTTTTGTCAATAAGATAGGTTGGTAGTTTTTCCAGTTTGCTTTGTTTCTATCAAGTAGAAGTTAAATCCATTTAATTGCAAAAGCATCTTGAAAATGTTTCACATCTATCATATTTAGACCTCCCTTTGCATTGCCTTGTATCAATATATTTCTTTTAATACATTCTACTACACCTTTTACATCTTCTTCTTTATACACACTTTTGTTACCTGACCAGATATATTTAAAAAACAAACAATTTATCCGTTTAATAATCTTATCTGACAAAATAAAACTTTGCGTAATGTATCCAAATTGTGAGAGCATTGGTGATTTTACGAGAGTAATTTTACCAAACATGGTTAAACATCTACCTGCCCATCTTTTCATTATTTCTTCACATTTCTTGAATTTACAGTCAATAATCTCATCTAATTCAACCACCTTATTGGTTGTGCAAAATGTTATGCCTAATATTTTAATCTTATTATTAGGGAAAATATTCCATTTGATGTTTACTGGTTTTTCAACACAAATTTTTTTATTGCCTAACCATATTGCTTCTGATTTCTGTTTATTTAATTTTAACCCGGATGAAAAATGGCGGCCTTTACTCATTATTTTACGATTTTTGCTGTAACTCAAAAAAGGAGTGGAGCGATTTTGATCATATTTGGTATGTAAATACTATAAGCATAGCACACTGTCTAATGACACTTTTGGTAGAAGACGGCAATTTTGAAAAATGGCCACCATTTTAATGTATTTTACTATAACTCGAAAAGTAGTGGAGTGATTCTGTTCATATTTGGTATGGTACACTGTCTAATGACACTTTTGGTAGAAGGTGGCCATTTTGAAAAATGGCTGCAATTTTTGCTACATACTTTCTTTGTAAAAATGCCAGCCATGTAGAGGTGTAACTTGCCAGAAAAATCGAACTCGAGTTCAACTTGCCAAATATTTCCAAAAATTGAGTAAAACTTGAGTTAATTCATTTCGTCCAGTACATATTGTAAACCCGGGTACACAAAATTACTGTAACTTCTAGCAGCAAGTTTCTCTGGTT